GCTTTATTTGCATTCCGATATTGCAGTGGTATTAAAAGGAAAAGATGGGGGTTTGTTTTGGGTTAAATATAGCGATAAGTGTGCTTGATAGGTATGATATAATTTATTAGTACACGTGGTTCAAAAGAACCACCCCTTTTGCTGGGAAAAGGTCCACTCTGGGTAAAATTTGATCTAAGTACATGAAGTTTTTATGGAAAAAGGTCCACTTTTTCAGAAAAAGAACCCCCGTTTTGAAATTGCTGGCTACGGGCCTGAACTGTATGGATATTCTGACATTGCTTATATTCCGCCCATCAGGTTAATAACTTTGATTACTCTGATTCAGGGGGTGACATTTCTATTGTAGTGTGTGTAGGTATGGTTCATTTGAAACACCTTTACAATAGAATCTATAACCTGTAAAAACAACGTCGAAATTTGACAGTCTTAAAATGTGATGAAATAACACGGAAGATTCTGTTACAACGAAGTCTCGCAATGACTTATTGATGTCACTATAACCACAATCCAGCAGAATTTAGCATACAAATATTGGAATCTTATTCAATTCACGCTTCCCTTAGTATGAGTAGTATAGGTCGATCCTCCTAGATCGATTTAGGTATGGGAATGGGATTCAAGAAGTCTTATATAAGTAATGCATTTATTTACAGGCAGAAAACCCCAGTTGACACGACCTCTAATGAGACGGTGACAATCCGTCATGCACAAACAACACCAGCACTGAGATACCTATGGCCATTTCGTCTTTGTTTACTTAATACTGTATACAAGCACCACCAAAATAGAATCCAGTCGACAGAGCTAACTGAGCTAATTGAAGATTAAATGTTGTATAAGTGACACCCTTGCGTTGTTAGACTGTATTATCTGGGATTACGCAGTGTGCACATAAGCCAAACGAAGGCCAAGGCACAGCTAATAAGTGACACTCTGCGGGTGTTGGACGGTATTACTATTATCTTATTCAGGGGGTATTACTAACCGTGCTCATTAGTCTGTACCAAACTTTCAAGAAGGTCAAATACTGGACAAATCAGTGCCATGTAGGTAACACCACTGTCCTTCAAAACAAGTGCTGGAGAGATATGTTACCTAATTACCCAGGAAATAAATAAATAAATAAATAAATGGTCGAATGAATAACAAAAATTAAGAGTGAAGGGTCTATACTTGCTTCCCCACATGCACAATTAAATACACGAAACGAACATGCGCTATAATGTTATCAAGTCTTTTCCACAAGTGTTCTTGTTCAGAATAATATGTGTGTGCCACTGTGTATGTTTGTGTGCGTTCAAGCGTGTGCACGTACCTGCGAATGTGAGCGGTTTGAGCTGTGTTGGCGTTTGTCTTTGTTTGTGTTTGTGTACGCGCGTGTTTGAACGCGTGGTATGCAGACAGCTACAAGTGTATATATCAGCTTGTCATAGGCCTAATCTCTCAGAGCTTAAGGTGCGCAAGGCCCACTTTGCACCCCTTCCCCACCCCCACCCTCACCCCCACTCCCACCCCCACCCCCACCCCTTTTTTATTACACTTCACAGAAAAAATAGTCGTCCAAGTCGATGGATTCAGCTGGTTTTAATCAAGCCGGAAGGTACAGGGCAAGCATCCTTTATATTACCTTCATATATATTATCATTCTCTCTCCCTACAAATGATATTCATTTATGTAGAAGTACAATAACAATCAGGTGTTTTTTACTGGGTTCAGGAAAGCGGGAAGATTGGGTAGCCACACCGGCACTAATACTTGTTTTTTTCTTATATCTCTTTCCACAATATTGATTTTAACTAAAATAAACAGGCACTTTTAGTTCGCTCTACGTGGATCTAGTGTGAACTTGTCCGTATAGGTTTTTACGAGTGACCTTTAATATCTTAATTAATTTAAATCTTTCTTATTTTTATATTGTTGGAAGGGAACATGCTGTTAGGGCTAGGTGTCATGTGTAGGGCCATAAATGCTGGTATCTGCGGTTATGGGGGACAAGAACAATCATCATCTACGGCTTAAGTTGTCAATTGAAGAAAAGATGAATGGTGTTTGGAACTTTGTGAGTCCATAATCGTAGATACTTAGTATAGTGTGTTGAGTCTAACGGATGACATCAAGTGCAATGTTCTCTCTCTCTCTCTCTCTCTCTCTCTCTCTCTGGGAACATACACATATTGGAGCATCACTTCTTTCGCTCTCAGCACACACACATGCACACACACATGGAAATTCTCTCTCTCTCTCTCTTTCTCTCTCTCTCTCTCTCTCTCTCTCTCTCTCTGTGTGTGTGTGCGTGTGTGAGATGGGGTTGAAAATTGATGTACCATTTATATCCACCATTTTAGTTTGGTCCATTCATGGGTAATATGGTATATAAATAAATAAATGTAAGTCTGACACCATGCACCTTTTATACCATGTATACGTACCGGTATAAATGTAAATGTGGGCCTTATATTAATGTAGACAGTGAAGGTCTCATAGCAAGACCGAACTCGACATTTAGTTTAAATCAGAAATAAATAGGTCGTTGTCTCAACAACTGCAATAGGATAAATGGTTAGGTCACATTAATTTAATTGTGTTACTTGGGAGGAGCAACACTTTCTCAACTACAGCAATACATGGAAATTGAATCACGGCGCTGTGCTATATTGTGTTTGTTGAGATAATTGACTGCAGTTGATCTACAGCAATAGAAACTGACGCAAAAGGGTCTTTTGGGAACAAGTGGTCCCCAAGCAACCCCGTGATGAAGAATGAGAACACGCCCTACTCTCATTTTTTAAAATAGGTCCACTTAAGCCACAGGGTGTCACATAACATTATAATCATGTAAAATGAGCCCCCCATGCGACGTATAATTTTCGCTCGAGACACTAAGCTTGAAATAAATTCAAAGATAAAGAAAATACGTTTACAATGAGTTGTACATGGACCCCTTGTTCCCTGCAACAGAATTAAATGAAGTTTTGAGTCCAGCATGACAGGCTCATATCTGTGAAACTTTCCTTAAGGAGACTGTGTATAGATCAAAATTAATAAAGAGATTTCTTTTCGGTGATCTTCCAGTGGCAACAAGTTAAATGATTTTGAATATAATTTGAGAAGTCCACAATCTCAATTTTATTGGTCAAGCTGACACACCGTGTGCATACTCCCATGGAAAGGAATTTTGGACAATGATAGTGTTTTTTTCCATAATTAAAAAACACATAGCAGATGCTTTTAAAGAAGTCAGTGGTTAGGGAATATAAAAGAAATCCAACATACATATTTTAATTAATTTTATCTAAATCCAATCAGTGAATCTTAATTGGGATGTATCACAGAATGTCATCACAAAACCATTGTGTGAATGACACTTATAGAATTTTTCTTTTCTATGAAAAAAAGGCATTCTCAGGATAATACAACAATACAATAGAAGTGTCACCCCCTGAATCAGAGTAATCAAAGTAGGTAGATCTTGAGTAGTTATAATGCCTGGTCTACTTATAATGTAACTAATGAGTATAAAACCACTGTACTGTACATGTACCATGAAATTGTATTGTTGGTCTTTATGTGAAATTTGATGTAAATAAAATGATACCAGGTGCATATCATTATACAGTCATTTATCTCCCCATTGGACCTAAATAGGAATCTCTTATTATGTCCATGTTTCCCCCAAAGTATTGATTCAGTAGGGGGTGACACTTCTGTTGTCCAGTGTGTGTAAATAACATTTTTCATGTTGGAAATGAGACTTAGTCACAATTTTTCTCAACATTTAAAAGCGCCTTTTTAATGCTTAGTCTAAGGACCTTAACTCAAAAGTGAACCTGGCTGCATACTAAGAGCACATACAGAACAAGTTGATCTGGAGATTTAAAGATCTGCCGACCAATTATGGCTGACCCACTTAGAAACGATGCTGCTAATCCCCCGATGGTCTCCCATCCTCCACATGTGCCATGGTTGAATGGTGCCTTGTATTTAAACCTCCAAGCCCAGATTTATTGGGTTTAATGGCATGTGTGGAGGTAGGAAAAAACATCAGGGGATTTAGCTGATTGCATTTAAGTCAGGGCCCTGTAACTCGAAAGCATCGCGTATTGTGAATAGCGATTTCACATAGAGGCTACAGTGTATTATATGAGCCGGGTTATGGAATCGAAATGCTTGTGCTCGGTCACAATGTGCAATGCTTTCAAGTTACGGGGCCCCAGGTCTGCCATATTTAATGGGGAGATCTGTCAGTTTACAAATTATCTGTTCTAAATGCACCTTAAGGTTTTAATCAAAATGTTGACAGAGACTGCTGTCATGCGTTGGTGAAGTGTGTGCGGGGTTTGCAAGCGAAACAAAAAAATTTTCATCACACTCCAAACGAAGATTAATTAATTAATTAGAGTAGAGATAATTTGCAGAAAATTAACCTGTAAAATGGCCGCATTCACAGCCAGTTGGCGTGCATAATAATGGATTCCCGTCTTCCATGCACCTCCTCCCAACAATGGCAGAGCAACTAAATCTCGGCATGTTCTCAAGTGGGATGTGCCACAATTGAACAACTGGCTGTGAACATGGGCGTTGACTTTGACAAAACATGTTGATTGTTAATTTCACTTACGAAACAAAAAACTACCAACTCATCATGTGTAACCTTAAAAAGTAACATCCCTCTACATTAATATTTCAGACTGTATAATGAACTTTTATTTATTATGTACAGTAATATTAAGTTACTACTGCTATAATAATGATCTGGGCCATGAAGCACCAAATTTTATAACTGGCCTCAATATAGTAAAATTGTAAAGGATTAAAAAAAAAAACTGTTTGTTTACAGTCACTTTGAGCAGTGGCGTATCATTCTTCTTCCTGACAACAGAAGTTGAAATGCCATAAAGATGCTTGTATGATTAACAGAATTACATACACACTGTCTCAGGACTAGACATTGTCTCTTCTTGAACATAAAAGAGGTAAAAAACATTGCGAAGAACTTCAAAAGTAATTTTTCATCTATATAGAACTGATATGTTATGCAAATCACAAGTACCTCATGGGAGCTAATAAAGGCTTATATAAAAAAAATAGTAATGTTTCTGATATCCCACTTCTGACAAAAAATTAGTTCAACCTAGGATATCAAAATCCTTTAAGGGTTTTACTTGAACAACTTATCTTTATCAATTTCATTCATAAACTCTAAACAAAATAAATAAATAAATAAATAAATAAATAACAAAAGTGACTTCCTAAGAATATATAACTTGTACCGAATATGATATTTAAATATCAAACTCATAAATAGATTCAAACATAAACAACCTTTGGTATGGCTAAGGAGAACATTTCTTATCACGGAATATACGTCCTAACTGTCCCTTCTATGACTCCTCGACATATAGGGCAGCGTCTTAACGCAGGAGCGCAGTGGGCACATGCAACTAAATGCGCACACGGAAGCAAGAGAACTGAAACTTCATCGTCAAGACATATTTTGCATATTCTCTCTTCTTTCAGTTTTCTATTCTCCTCTCTCAGAGTTTGATATTCCTCTGGCAGTTCTCTAGATGGCGCTGCTGCTGCTGCTCCTGGTTGCTGCTCATCTTGAGGCTCAGTGTTAGGCTCGTCCTGGGGTAAAATAAGCGATGAGGCTGCTGAATTTTCATTCAATTCTAATTCTCTCATCTCTTGTCTCTTTCTTTCTTCTCTTTCTTTTTCTTCTAGCTCATAGATGGCATCTAGTAATGAGGGGGCATCTGGGAACTCTGATCCTGGAGAGAGAGAGAGAGAGAAAACAAAAACATAAAAATGAGGAATTAATTAGTGGAAGAAGTCAAAGAAAGGGTGCATAAAACAGCATTCAAAGTCATCAAAGTGTAGACTCTTGAATCTGGACACTATGGGCTCATTCCCAATGAAACTATCATTCTACAGAAATCGAGCCAACTTTGCAGGGAACCTAGCTGAATGCAATCAGTTTACCAGATTAACATGCCTCCTCGTTTCCAACAAGTCCGAATAATCACAAGCTTTTCTGTATTCTATTCAATGCCAGAAGTAGGCCTGTTAGGCTGACTGTATTCAGCTACGGGCCTGCAGAGGCATATAACATAGGGTGCGTGCACAATGAATCTACTGGGATTTGTTCTGAATGCAATCAAATGAAAAGATGAACACTCCTCTTGACAATGAGTAGAAAACAGAAAACCTGGTGATAAAATGAGTACACTGGAAACAAGAGAAGGGGAGCCATTCAGTTTACCTGACTGCATCAAAGCAAGAGTCCTTGCAGTCTTGGATCGCTCTACCTAGTATTAAAGCTTAATTGTGAATGCACCCCGCACTTTTCAACAACGAGGAAATCCTATTCCAATGACTGCATGCATGACACATAGCTTCGAACCCCGCAGCACTTACATGTATACATCACCATGCAGAGATTTCAGTGCCCTCCCCTGTTTTCCAATATTTCAGTTTTTCTAGATATCTCATAAAGCTATCTAACAAAGACATATTACCTCACATGAACCTAACACACTTTTCAAGCCTTTAAATGGTCTTTTTTTTTCAGCAATCATAAATATGTGAGTAAAATATCTTACTCACACGTATTTCAAGCTTCTATCACCAATGTACTGGTAATGACATGCAGGAATGCTTTCACGTACATTATCCCTGTGATTATATGTCATACACCGCATATAATGGTAACAATTTTTAACTATGAGGTAAGAATGAAGTAATTTTTTTCAGTCAAAAGCTTTATGTGGAATGAGGCTATCCAGGGGAATAGCCTCTATTCAGGAGTTATACTTGCACCCCCCCCCCCACACACACACACACCTATTCCCTGATGAAGACATAAAAATATTGGAGGTAAAAACTATTTTCATTTTAAGCTGCTGAGTAAAGAAAAATTATTTCATTCTCATAACATAAAACAGCTGATGAAATTCTCAGTGACTATATATAACCATGAGGTGCAGTCAAAAATACCTCTCTCACTAGGTACATAAATAGCACCTTTATCTAGAGATATATGTAGATTGGCAAAGTAGGGGATTTTTTAACATAATCGCCACAGATAGCCTAGGTAAGACAAAGTGCACTTACCTCTGCCTTACTTACTAGTAAATGATTCACATTCAAAATTTAAACTTTTATGCATACAATTTTTATCAATCACCAACCCTTTTCCTACCAAAATTAGTTCACCATTATGTTCCCAAATGTAGTTAAAGATCACCTGACCAGTTAATGCTTAAGACATGTAATGCCAGATTAGGACATACGGTGTCCTAGCTCTTCAAGTCTATGGTACTACTCTATGGACCAAATGAATGGAACATTCTCCCAAAATTATTGTACTTAAAATTATAATGTCTGAGGGCAATTTTAAAGAATAATTTCTTACTAATTTTTTTATAATTATTTTTGTTTACCTTTGTCTTTTACTATAAATACTACTATTTTAATATTCTATCTGTCTATATTTATTTATTGACATTATTCATCTTATTCTGTTCATTTTAACCCTTGTCAAGTCTTCTGAACATTTTGTATGGATTTTAGACTACAAATAAATATTATTATTATTAATTGCCAGTGGATACATGACAGTTTCTTTTTCTGACAAAGATGCTGTAGAGACATTAAAATCATTACAACAAGGTTTATCCAGTGCAATATGAGAACATTGGACTTCACGCTGGATTCACTGGCTCACACTTCCAATGTCATGAGAAGACTGACAGGTCCCTGATGATGTCCTTGAGCAGGGGCAGATTTAGGCTGTCTTCTGGGTCTTCCAGCAGACGGTCAGATTTTTAAGTTTACATTGACGAGGATCTAATTTTTTTGTAGGAAGACGGTCAAAAATTGAGGGTTGATCAATGAAGATAATTTGGAAGTCTGTCAGAAAATAACTCTGGATCCGCCCCTGTTGAGAAAAAGGACGAAATGTCGCGGTCTCTGCATAACATAACTAGCAGCTGTATATGACTGTCCAGTATTAGGTTTAATATCACAAATGGATTATATTTATAATTTACATTTTGATATAAAATACCCCTGTTACCCAACATTTCGTCAACATGTTTACCACTTACATTGAAATATGTTTGTGATTATTCAGGGGATTTTAGCTGTACATAGTTATTATGTACAATTATTAACTGCTTGCTTACCTCAGAATACTGATGTCTTAGTAAATATCACTTTGGCCGAGATCAGCATATCAATATGTTTACCAAAAGGGAAAGGTCAGTAACTAATTTACTAAAACAGAAGAGGCACAATTCCCATATACCTGCCTCCAGAGGTCTTCCAGCTGTTACATAATATTGTGAGACTTTCATAACATCTAGAAGTGTTAAAGGTAAACAGTAGACAATACCCCAAGCACTGCACGTACTGCAGGTGTTTTCCATTCTAAAATTAGTGATGACTCATGTTGATGTAAATACCAAGGCCACAAACTGTTACATATAAGCCAAAAAGTCACCAAGTCACTGTCAGAAGACAACCTGGTGACTGACATCAACGTGATACTTGTCAGACACTGATTCAAGGTTGGGATCTCACTGTGCATGACACCAAGAATGTATTTGTGTCAGTTAATATAATATAATATAATATAATATAATATAATATAATATAATATAATATAATATAATATAATTTACCCATGTATCCATGACTGGATCATTCAAATAACACCATGCATTTTTGATGCATCATTTTAAAATATGATTCAGACACACATGGGTGAGCATGCAAAATAAGAAAAGATGATAGACCTAATCTTTATACCAGCAGGCATATAATAGTTGCATTGGATCAACGTTGAAAACAGGTTGATACGTTGAATTGCCGTTGATCTACCTAAATTCAAAGTTAAATCAATGTTGATCCAGCCACGTTGACTCAACGTTGTATTTTGGTCAATGACACAACCTTGCAGTTATGAATTGTAATTTAAAATATTAATCATTAAAAACGTGATACTTTGTTTATCAATACTGTAACTAAATTTATCAAAATAATAACAAAATGGTTTTAAAGTAAAAGTGACAGTTGTTTTGTGTCTTTAGTTAACTAGTGAATTTTCTTAACTTGTTATTCAGAAATACATTCCAATAAACTGAATTGCTTGCAAGGTCAGCTAACATTAGGATGAATAAGTTGCTGTAAATCTGATGGAGTTAACAGTTTTTGGTAAGATCTATATATATTTTGTAAGATCTATATATATTAATCTAAACCTTGGAAATTTTAACTTAAAGGCCATACATTTATACCCTACATATATTTAGCCATCAAACATGTCCTACTGCTAAACACATCCAGGCAAATTTCCCGCTGGGTGGGGTTGATATAACATTGTTCTCTGACGTTGATACAACGTTGTTATCTGAGGTTGACACAACTTTCAAATCCAACGTTTATTCAATGTCTTTTCAACGTTATGGTTCAACGTTGTTTCAACGTTAAAACAACATAATTTGCCCGCTGGGTAGTTAAAATAAAAGACGGACTCTGCACTGACTAGAAAGCACACAACGTGAATAAAAAAGTGCATGGGCACTGATAGTGTACTGAATACACTCTGAATACCTAGTAAGACTAAATACTAAGGAGTGGCTCACATCTTTACTTTGGCCTATCCTTACTAGTACAGTATTGTACTGTTACAACACAATTAAAAGACAGAAATGCCAAGTCATGGTATAAAGAATGCCATAATGACAGTACAGAATAATAGATATGTGTTCTTTTTCTCCACATAGCTGAGTAAATGTTTACTTTTGATGAATCAAAAAGTCAATTATCCACAATACAATAAAGAATCAAGACCAGTCATTCAACAAATAAAAGAGTTCACCTTATTAAGTGCTAAAAAGGAGTCGTGTTAGTCTATAAGGTCTTCCCAGATATTGTTTCAAACCATTGTGAAGGCGTAAAACAAAACTCTTGTCAACATGCTTATCACATATTCATGTGTAAACATGTTTATGCTAATTCAGATGGGGGTTTTTAATTTCTAATGCACTATATTGACTTGTTTACAGCAGCATATCGCATGAAAATGTGCTGAGATAAATTTAGCCATTGAATATAACTGCTGGAATAGACCTGATATTTTTTAAGTACATGTACATCTGTTTCTTATGTAAGAAGATAAGGTCAGAATAAGCCATGCACTAAGTAAAAATGAATAAAGGAGTATTTATAACCATTTGTGGGATCCTTTACTTTGGGTTGGCCTCATTCGCTCATCTGAACCAATCATCTTTAAATAATCAGGGGGGAAAACCCCTCAACACAAAAGATCAGATTAAGATGAAGTAGTAGGATTTCCTTAGGCCATTCCCTATGATAAATGCAAAAAACATCTTGAAGACCATCCCCTTCTCTTCAAAGAATAATATCCAGACTTTACACAATGATCATAATGAACGGTATTTACTGGTACTAGGACAAAGGGTATGTATAAAAACACAATGTGGTTTTAAACAATTCAATTATATCAACATCATTAATGACAGGGAAAAAACCCCAACATACAATGCATATTTTTTGCTTTATGGCTGGACCAGGCAACAAAAAGGGCAATAAAACGTCCCCAAAATTTTATAAAAGAAGATTCTTGTGGCTTGCCCCCTCTAAGACCCTTTTGTCATGGAGGGGGATAACTTTATGGACTCAGTCTGGATTGGTAACCCACAAAGTGAACCAGACCAGACTGGTTTAGTACTATTTATATACAGCTCCGTGAACTGAGCCTATCTCAGGGGCAGATTAAGTCTGTCTTCTCGATCTTCTTCAAGATGGTCAGATTTTCAAGTTTACATTGATGGGTATTTAATTTTTTTCCTTCAGAAGATGATCAAAAATGGAGAGGGGATCAACAAAGATAATTTGGAAGACTGTCAGAAAATATTTCTAGATCCGACCCTGCATCTTGTCTTTCATGTTTTCACATACTATTGTAGGCTATATCTCTAGTACAGATTAAAACCTAGTGTTCTTTTTCACCGTGAGGCATTATCTAGGAAAACATGTTATATGAACGTGTGTAAAAAAAGCCCTTGACAACCTTGCAATAAAGACTGAAATAAAGACCTTGCGGATATGCGTGTTAGTGATTATGACCTGGAAATAGAATGGTGCCGCTATGTATCTAAAAAAAAAAAAAAAAAAACCCTACTGAAAATCGTAAGTTCCCCCACTCTACCGAAACTGAAACTCATTTCCCACTGAAATGTTAAAAGCCTACCGGTCGTGTTAGAAGCAGTAGACTAATGATAGCAGGTGAACATAAAAACAGACCATGAAACACTTGGCTGGCTGCTCAGTCCAAAAAGTGAATCATGCTTGAGAGCCCTACAGATATATATACCTGAAAGTTATCATCATGCCAAATGTATTTTGTATTTATATTTATGTTATAAACGATTACTGTACACATTTTAGTGCTCAATAAGGTATTATTATTATTTTATTAGATAATATTGGGGCCTGTTCAGAACCAGTTGATCTGAAGACAAACTAGTCCAGGGATCAAATATAGTCCACCCACCCACTTGAAAGCATGAGGGGATTAAATTGGTCTGCCCCAGCAGGGATGGCATGGATGGGAGGCGGGGATCCATTGTCATGTTTAGTTCACATAGGGTGCTTTCCCAGAAATTTAGTTTGATCTAAAGATTAAGGTTTAGATTGACCTAACTCCCTGAAGGTTCATGCTAAATTGCAGTCAGCCGAGTGGGCACCATAGTTAATTATCCCCTTACAGCTTTTAGTAGGCGGGACAGATGCTTAAGCCGGCCAAGCTGACAGTAATCTAGTGAGACTCCCCACAGGGATAGATCGATCTAAAAATCTATGGAAATGGAGTGTTACTGTAACGCATGCATATATATATATATATATATATATACTGTACCTGGGTGGATAAAAATGACAATGTGTAATTTTTGTCATGTGCTTGATATATACTATGTTATCTGTTAAACTAATCTTCTTGTCCAATCTGCTAAACCCCCCTTCATGACAGACAAATTAAATCGGACATAATTTATTTTTCTAATGGGAAGAAATGGAAGTGATTGAATGAATAGATTAAGGTGGAAGGGGCAGGAAGCATTTTTCCTGTTTCTTATCTCAAGTTACAGATAATTACTATTATTATAATACTTATTATTTTTTGTCAGGGGGGAGGAGGGGGGCTTGACTTTATTTGCACTGGAACAGAACTGTTATAAATACTGTATTTACTTGATCTTTTCAATAGGAGAAATTGGGAATTGACAAGCACCATATTTTCAAAGTCAATTTCGTTAAATTGGGACATTCCTATTGAGAGGTAGAATTCAAAATAAAAAGCAGGCTACTCTTCGGTTTTATTTTATACAGGAAAAGCACCACAAATTATCTGCAGAGATATGACTTTTGGGGTTATAAATTTAGATATCTGAAAGTTGGATAATTTTTGCCCATTATAAATATCCAGTCAATTTCAGTTACTGCAGGTTAGTCATGTCCATCCATTTGTATTTCACAAAAATTGAGCTTTGCAAACTGAATGCTGGAATTACAAGACTAAGTACATCAAACTCAAATCTCCAAAAATGAGATGCACTGTTGGCAATTTGACTTAACTGTAACATGCAATATTAGATCTAAAAAATTTTAATATTTCTTAGAACATATTTCAACTCACCAGAGTCTCTAAATCTGTTTTCAATGGCCAGTTTCACCATTTCATTAGTATATCCCAGTTCCATCACTGCCCTGGCGTAAGGCTTCATCAGCGCCTCTGACGTCCTGTCTCGGGATGAGGGGGCTGGAAAGAAATGGTACACGGTTAGGCTCTCGTCTAATTGAAATTCTTATTATCATCTATTTTTTATTTTGATCTCTTTTCTTAAAGGCTAAAAATCAGTTCAATTTCACCCATGACAAAATACTTTCTAAGTAAAATATGAGACCATGGCAAACTCATTTCTTCAAAATGTCTCAAAGAGGATTTTTTTCTTTTACCGACTGTAAACCTGATTTTTAGAAAAATAAGTAAGCTTTGCTGTGATATTTTTCAAAGAAATAAATATTTTAACAAAACTGACCTCTGGATGCAGGTGCTGAAGGTGGAGGAGTGCCTGCAGCTGACTCATTCTAGAAAAAAAAATACCACATATATCTTTACTAGTGTATATATATATATATATATATATATATATATATATATATATATATATATATATATATATATATATATACACACACACTAAATATAGAGGGAGACAAATGATGCCTATTCTAAACTGAAATACAATTATGCCTTTATAAACTGGTATCAGTGTTTATCAAAATGGCACATTCATCACTGACCAAATTGTTAATACATACATGTACATTCTACAATGAGACCAAATCTGAAACCTGATACTCTGGGCATTAACACACAGACAAAGTGAAAAAAAATGTAATTTTCAAGTACTAGTATGTGGAAGTTTTTAAACTGTGATTCACCCTTCCTTTACTTAAAAATGGCATTTGTCACAAGTACAGCATACACCCGTGTTTTATGCAGCAGACCCATACACATACTCACCTGTTTTCTTTTAATACTGTTTATAAAGTCCAAACCCTTGCACTGTTTCACATAGCCACATTTGGAAAACCATCGGGCATGTTCCGTCCACGGTTCATCTCCAGGTTCCCAATTTTTCAGGCCTCCATTACAAAAGAAGCATTTAACATTGTCGTTAAAGCCAGCGTAAAAGAAGCCAGCATGAGAAAGCATATCTGGTCTCTGGGTCTTGTCACTTGGCCAATTATTATAAGTAGCTAGTCTCCTTTGTATGGTAGAAAATTCTGGATGTCTTGGTTTTTCAGTAACTATTGGGCTATTTTCCAATATTAATGACGGCCATCTTGATTGCAATGTTGTCCCTGTGGCAAATCCTGATGTTGCCGCAGATGTTCTGGTAGCAACAGAAGGTCCAGTCGATCCAGTAGATCCTGCCCCATAGCCAGAAGATTCGGACTGTGTTGAAAATATTTGCCGGAAATTTTCTGTCTGCCTTTCCGAACGTAGTTTCTCTATAACAAAGGGGCATTCTGGAGAATGTCTCGAATGCTCCCCCATGGCGGTATCGCCAGGCTCAAAATTTCTTATCATTAATCCACAGTAGACACACTTCACCATGTCTCCCTGACCCATGTGTATAAACCCGGCTTCTGCTAGGTCCGCGGCTCGCAGGGGGTTGTCCGATGGCCAATTGACAAAGGTGCCCAGACGGGCTGACGGTTCTCCCATGGATCCCCACTGTATACCAGTGGCTGGTATGGGGCCACCACGATTTTGTTGTGAAGACATAATGTCAGTTTTAGTTTCCTTTGAGTATTTGTAAAGTGCTTTCTATCAAAATATTTATTTTTATTTTTAATTTCTTTTTTTTTTGTGCTTTCCTTTCTACTTAAATGAGTGCCTTGTTTTAAGGATATGTTTCCTTTAGTTTCTTTTTTTTTTTGGGGGGGGGTATGATTTCCTTTATGCTTATTAAAATTTTTTTGTATCCTTTTCCCTTTTTTATATTTTTCAGCACTAAATGAGAAAAACTTGGTTTTAGTATTGAGTAACAGTTCTCCTACTATGCACCTCTAAACTAATCTTGAGCAAACCTAGTCTTTATTAGTAAAATGTTAATTGTCTAGGGCAGCAACTGTCACACTTAGAATATGCTGCCTATATCATGTGTTATATCCACTTTACAGGGCGTTGTGAAATTTGTATTTAGTTCATGCAGATGTTGCAAAGCACATCTAAAAGAATGCCGACTATGACAACTGAAATTGGCAAATCTACGTTTGTGGTCACTTCGTTGTTGTTTTTCTTTATTATTCTTGGCAAATCTGAGTTCACTGTCACTTGGTTCGTGTTTATTTTTAGTATACTTGGACTGGATGGTCCTCCTTCTTCTCTTTTTATCATAGGATGTATTTTCACTTTCTGTGTTATCTGTACTGTTTCCAGACTGGGGCATATTAAAACCTTCTGCCTCCATGGTGTGCCATTTTAATTTGCAAATACTGGAAAAGAAAAGGTGGAAGACCATTTTAAAATTAATCTTTTAGGTAAAAGTGTTACTGTACTTAATCTCTAAAGAACACATTGCATGATTCACATTTATTGGATACTATGAGGTTGAAATATTCCTTGCCTAGTTCCACAAAATGATATAAACAGAAAATGGTTTTTCTACAAACAAGTTGTAGAATAGCTTCTCACCTAATACCCCATTCACACTGGCAATTTTGACCATGGTTCAGGCCTGATCAAGGTCTTATATGGGTTAACTTTTGTAATATATGAATGGGCTAAGTACCCTGATTGCAGTTCAAATAAACTCTGATTGATAGTAGGGTTAATCAGCTAAATCAGAGTTACCTTTGAATCACGGTCAAGGCTGGATGTTTACATCTGAAAAGCATATGCACAAGAGGGCAATTAATTTTGCGGGAAATTCTGTCAGTACTTATTGTACTAATTGTATCAGGCTTGTTTCATTCATTGTATTCAATAATGAGCTGCAGTAAAAGAGTATCTTGGCCTGAGGAGGCCGTCAAAGCCCTGCTCTCCATATGATCTCAGAGTGAAATAAAAATAATAATAAAAAAAACAATAATAATTATAAATAAATTAATGAATAAATAAATAAATACATAAAAAGAGTGGTGTGCCAAAAACAAGACAGTGTTTTACAATTCTAATGAGAACAAGAGTGCACATACTTATAAAAGCAAAAATAATATGCTAATCACTAATACTGCTTATAATAGCTTCCAGTAGCAGTTTGAATGCAAGGAAACTGGGTCATATCTTAGACTACAATTCATTGTAGTTAACAGATAAGAGAAGAGATGCATAAACTAGTTAACAGAAAAGGGGTTACCTATAAGGATGAGGATTGCTTGTTAGTTTGTGGGGTATTGACCCATTAGAGCCTGCATCTTCAAAACAAACGGCAGCCATGCTGGAGGGAGACCGGAATCGTCTGCTGCGCATGATCATGTCTACAATTTAGTATGATTTAATGTTCTGTATTTTCTTTGATATTTAACCAAATAAAATGACGAATTACTGCAGGGTATATGATAGAGAAAAGATAAATAACTTTGCAAGCGTTCACAGACTGCCTGAAGTGGTAACAATCCAAGGTGAAGGGACGAAAACTGTAAACGGAGGAGAGACCGAGAAGTGGCTTTGAATCAAGACTCATTTGAGAAGTAAAGGACAAAACTAATTTATTTTACAGCATAGTGTGCAGCCTTTACCATAAAAACAGTAGAAAACCAAAGACCACGGTGTTTAAGTTTGGAGCGCACGTACACTGTAGATAAATAGTGCCCAAAAAGTTTGTGTGGAGAGCGTGTTGTAAAAACGTGTGGAAATACCCAGGAAGGGTTTCGACTTTCATTATGAAGACTCACTTATTGCCTTGGGTGTACCGGTAATTTGTTTTCAGCTTTGTTGCTCTCCGGATTTTATCTGCTGTCATCTACCTCTTTAATACAGTGAGTTCAGCTGTAAATGACTATCTATCTAGCTAGAGACATATCTGTGAATATCTGTAAAAAAATCTATCACTCGCCCTGGTAGAGGGTAAGAATCTGCCAGGTATTTTTATTTGTTCTTAATTCTAAATTTTTATCATATTTCTGTAGAAATCAAGAATCATTCTGCCATGCATGTTAATTGTAAGTGACTTTAAAATGTCTTTTCATCCCTTTCAAAAATTTTGGTCACATGTAACAATGTCACATGGCCTAATAGGGATTGTTAAAGAAAATCTGTGCCCAAAGTCAATGTGCAGTGTTCATTTGCTGTTTTGAAGTTATCCTGATAGCTTGCACACAACTAGGATAGGTATTCTGTTTATTTAGAATTGTGCAGAAACACGAGTAATGAAAACACTTTTTCTTTCTCATATTTTATGGCTGTCCTTTATCAACAAAAGATTTAGCTCATGTAGGTTGCACATTTTTAAAATTGTGACCACCATGCAGTTGTGGAATTTTATGTTTACTTTTAGTTTTATTCATACAAAATGTGCATTTTCCTATATTTTTAAGCAAGTGGTTGCAGAAATGAAGATAAATTCATGAACTGACTTGTTATTTTACATTGGATTATATCATAAATAATAAGTTTGAAAACTGCCTTGCTTCTGTGAACGTCTGGACTTATAATAAATTCCTAACAATGTTGCTTATGTGAATGGTTGAATTCATGGCAAAATATTGAACTCTCAAACTACATGTTACATGTACTTCCCAATGAACCAAAATGAAGTACAAGGATGTTGAAATAATTTCTGACAACTTCATGATGTACAGTTAAATCATATCTGATAGCAATATTTCTTGTCATAAGACAACCCTGCATATATTCTTCTGTGAGTCCGTAAGGGTTGATCCCAATGATCAGCTCAAATTTCTCCTTATATATCTATCCTTTATGTAAAAAAATTGCTTCTATGAAAGGTCGAACTTATGATTACACATTAAACTCTCTCAAACTATAACTGTTATTACCCAATGAGCAAGAAAAATGAATTACAAGATAAATGAACTAGCTTCTGACAATTCCACGATGTTGGGATAAGTCAGGATTTCACGTTTTTAGACTGCCTTGAGTTTATATAGGTCGATCATGCTGATCAGCTGAAGTTTCCACATGTATATATATTTTTCCTTTTGGTGTACTTGATCATGATATGAAGGTTATTTTATTTTATTTGGTTCACCTATATTTACACTACTATTCCCCGTCGTTCTTTCCCTCCAGTATGGCCGCTGGACTAGTTTTACGGAGCAAATATGATGTCACTGTAATGGGTTAATTGCCAAACAGTGTATTAGGTGAACTGCAAGCTGTTTCTGCTGAATAGACAATAGTCAATAGTAGACTTAGATCTTTCTGAACAGGCTAATGACAAATAGAATGACATATATACAATATGATATATAAAATATATAGAACACATAATAAATACAACCATGTATATAATTAAACATTTTTATGCTTCAGTTTTTATGTATAATTCACACACCACATTAAATATGAAATAAATCATCTCATATCATTATCATGTACGCCTGGTATATCACTAGCAGCAAATTTTAGCCCCTGCTACATGTAGGTTCTCGTTTTACTTACTTATTCAACGTTAAAATGGCAGCAACACATACCACGTACGATAAGTGAGGCCAGAGAAGTAGTCTTTCTTTCTCTACTTCTATGGTGAGGCTTATGTACGGTGGCCCTCGGTTTAAATCGGAGCACAGCCCAGTCCTTTGTTCGGCAAAACCGGTACTGATAATTGATAATTAATGTCATTAATTGGGTGTAATGGTAGATCCTGATAGGTTTTTACATGTACAAGCTTGGTATTGTATTCAATGTGAAATGATAATCCATGATAATCTTCCCCAGAAACCTCGTAAAACAGCTCACCATAAAAAAATTCTGACAGTTGGAATGGCGTCACATCCGGATCATGCCTGCTACGGTGTACTTCCGTTTAATAAAGCTGTTGTTTGTTTATGTACAGCGAACTGTGGGGGGCATTTGTAGGCTTGGCCTACTGCGCATTTCGTCTTGATTTTGACCAGGGAATTATATCGTACACGATATAATTCCCTGTTTTGACCAACCCTGCTTCTTTACATTGAAATCTGTTAAATCACAGTTTAAAGACTCCTCGGTCCCATTTTTATATTCAGAAGGCCATGGAAAATGGACTACCAGTAAATTTAATCTTTCACTGTACAGAAAAGTTCAGAAATATATGTATGTTTCTATCATACATGGTGTATACGTGAGAGTACGCTTACGTTTGCCAACATCAACATGCACATTCTAACGTTGTAGCCTACCCAACCTTTCATTGCTATAATAAACTGTTAATATTATTCAATGCCATGTGCCTTTAAAGTCGGTATAACTTCCCCCATATGCACCGTCTGAGGTTCTAGTTAGGCTCAGTTCCCGGGGAATGAATATTAAGGCCTTTATAGGTTCGAAGGCCCTATACGCTGTATACGAACACAACTACGTATATGTGCAGTACCTTTGACATATTTAAACTTACTGTTATTGCCGAACTTGCGTCCTTGCTCAATCGAAATGCCTACGTCGCTCTTTTTGGAGTGTCAATTTAAACGTGACTAGTCGATGTGAGGTCACTATATATATATATATATATATATATATATATATATATGCGCAATTTGGGAGGAAAAAGTCCCTTCTATTTATAGAGGGAATGATGTTCTAAACACACCCAGGTTTATCACTATGACTGCATTCCCACAGCGTCACGCTATTTAAATAAGGTCGCGCGACAAGGTTATTTTCAGTTGCACCCTGGATTACGCACGCTTGCTCCGCAAGGTGTCGCCTGTGGCGGGGGGGCAACACAGCCCATATGGTTACTGTGGCGAAGGTGACAGGTACTTCCAAAAAACATTTTTTCATAATTGTCATTTTTTCCTCATTCTATTCACGAATTTGATATTTACGGCAATGGAAAATGTGGCACCGGCAAAAGTGAATCTACAATGTAGGTGCGTTGACAGGCCACACAGGTGTCCCCAATTAACCGCCGCCAGAGAAGAGACCCCAAGCATTAAACAACACAACCTGTAGGTATTGGAAATTTGGTTAAAGCTAAGCAACTGAGGCTTTATTAGATTTGGGCAGAAATCGAGGGGAATGTCCAGTGACATGCCAAACCCCTAAGTTCCAGTCTTGGCCCTTGACACCAGTAACGCACCCCTTAGTCAAGAATCTGAACAAATCAATGTTGGGCAGGTATGCTCTATTTTCTACAGGCGTTTTGTGATTTTATCAACTTGATTGTCAAGTGCCAGACCTTTTGCTCCCAGGTACAAGTAGCAAACTTTATCAGATAACAATCTGACACTAACCATTCTGCACTAACAGCGCTGTAAACCCAGTTATCAATGGTGTCATCTTTACCTGTATCTTTACCGGTATTATGCCAGTGGTACGTTTGATACATTTGAGTAAGGAAATATGCTTAAATTCATTTATAATACATAACAGGTTGATACGTTAGCATCAACCTGTTAATAAAAACTTGGAAANAATAAGGTCGCGCGACAAGGTTATTTTCAGTTGCACCCTGGATTACGCACGCTTGCTCCGCAAGGTGTCGCCTGTGGCGGGGGGGCAACACAGCCCATATGGTTACTGTGGCGAAGGTGACAGGTACTTCCAAAAAACATTTTTTCATAATTGTCATTTTTTCCTCATTCTATTCACGAATTTGATATTTACGGCAATGGAAAATGTGGCACCGGCAAAAGTGAATCTACAATGTAGGTGCGTTGACAGGCCACACAGGTGTCCCCAATTAACCGCCGCCAGAGAAGAGACCCCAAGCATTAAACAACACAACCTGTAGGTATTGGAAATTTGGTTAAAGCTAAGCAACTGAGGCTTTATTAGATTTGGGCAGAAATCGAGGGGAATGTCCAGTGACATGCCAAACCCCTAAGTTCCAGTCTTGGCCCTTGACACCAGTAACGCACCCCTTAGTCAAGAATCTGAACAAATCAATGTTGGGCAGGTATGCTCTATTTTCTACAGGCGTTTTGTGATTTTATCAACTTGATAAAC